TCCCTGAAGGATGAGCTGATTGCTCTCAAGAGAAACCATGAGGAGGTACGATCCAACGATAAAGAGCATGGCCAAGACATGGTCCTTTGACTTGTCCAGGTTCCCAATGTTACATACCAAGTAAATTCAGCCTTACGTCATGTGACTGCCATTTCTTTGTGCCTTGAGACTGCTTTGCCCACTGTCCCCAAGGGAAGACATGACCTGTGCTCTTTGTTTCTCTCTTTGGACTCTCTGCAGGAAATGAGACAGCTGCAGTCCCAAACGGGTGGCGACGTGAGCGTGGAGGTCAATGCTGCCCCTGGTGAAGACTTGTCAAAGATCCTGAACGACCTGAGAAACGAATACGAGCAGATCATCGAGAAGAACCGCAGAGAGGTGGAGCAGTGGTATGAAGTCAAGGTGCGTAGCAATGCGCAAAGTGGAGCCTCCTTCTGTGGGAAAATCCAGAGACCCTGGTATGGGGTGTATCATGCCTTTGGCTAAAAGGAGGGGGCTGCGCCCCTGCACCTCACTTGCCCAGCTGGGGAACGGGAAGGAAAGAGCTGCAGGGCACAGGCTGCGGTGGCAGAGGGGGAGCAGCCCAGGCCTGATGTGCAAAGGCGGGTGGAACGTCAGGATCTACGCAGCAATGACTAGGCTGTCCTCAATGAGGACAGGATGAGAGGGAGAGGCTCCCCGGCTTTGTTAGTTCTCAGTCAGCAAATGTGCTCCCTGAGGGGGTTTTCTCACTCAGAAAGTGTGTTTGGGCTTTGACTCCTGCAGATTGAAGAAGTCAACCGGCAGGTCACCTCTAGCAGCCAGGATATCCAGACAAGCAGCCACCAGCTCACCGAATTGAGACGTGAAATGCAGAACCTGGAGATCGAACTGCAGGCACAGCTCAGCACGGTACGTGGGGCAGGATCGCTGAGGGCCCGTCCCTCCTCGGAATGGGCAGGCAGGGGGAGAGCTCTGGTCCTAAACCCCTGCATTTCCACTTCCAGAAAAACTCTCTGGAAAACTCCTTGGCAGAAACTGAATCGCGCTACGGCTGCCTGCTGCACCAAATCCAAGGGCAGATTAACTCTGTAGAGGAGGAGCTGGCCAGCAT